GAAAATTAAGAAAAAAAAAAGTGGCAAGGGGGTGGGCCAGGCACAGTGGCTCATGCCAGTAATCTCAGCACTTTGGGAGACCGAGGTGAGCGGATCACCTGAGGTCGGAAGTTTGAGACGAGCCTGGCCAACATGTGAAACCCCATCTCTACTAAAAATACAAAAATTATCTGGGTGTGGTGACATGCACCTGTAATCCCAGCTCCTTGGGTGGCTGAGACTGGAGAATTGCTTGAACTTGGGAGGCAGAGGTTGCAGTTAGCCGAGATCATGCCATTGCACTCCAGCCTGGGAGACAGAGTAAGACTCCATCTCAAAAAAAACAAAGAAAAAGAAAAAGAAAAAAAAAATCAACTAAGAAAGAATATATACAAGATAAGTCATAACCAAAATTGTGGTTATATTTATAGATAAACACACAAATATATATACTGTCATTGTGATAGACATATGGCTGATGTATCTCTTAAGTAAATCCCACATTGACTTCAAATGTACAAACAGAATTGCAAATTGTCTGAAATTATAATACATATGTAAAATTAAAAAGCACAAGAAACTAATATTAAGAAACCTACACTAAAAAAACACACTAGTATGAACTGGAAAACAATAATGAGAGAAATGTTTACTCAAAATACGGTTTGCAGCCAGGTGTGGTGGCTCATGCCTGTAATCCCAGCACTTAGGGAGGCTGAGGTGGACAAATCTGACCTCAGAAGTAGGAGACCAGCCTGGCCAACACGGGGAAACCCCATCTCTACTAAAAATATGAAAATTAGCCAGGCCTTGTGGCATGTGCCTGTAGTCCCAGGTACTCCGGAGGCTGAAGTGGTAGGATCCCTTGAACATGGGAGGCAGAGGTTGCAAGTGACCTGAATTCACTTCACTGCAGCTTCAGCCCCTAAGGGCAACAAGAGGGTCGAGACTGCATCTCCCAAAAAAAAAAGAAAAAAAAAAAAAAAAAGACTGGGCGCAGTGGCTCACACTTGTAATCCCAGCCACTTTGGGAGGCTGAGGTAGGTGGATCATCTGAGGTTGCGCGTTCAAGAACAGGCCTGAACCAAAATGGAGAGGAACTCCCATCTCTACTGGAAAAAAAAAGTAAAAATCAAGCCAGGGCCATGCGTGGCATATGCCCCTATAATCCCAGCCCTACTAGCGGAGGCTGGAGGCAGCGAGAATTTGCTTGAACCTGGCAGTAAGAGGTTGCAGTGAGCCAGGACTGGCGCCATTGCCACTCCAGCCTGCTGCAAATAAGACACAAAACCTCCACCTCAAAAAAAAAAAAAAAAAAAAAAAAAAGTGGTGTGCAATAATGATGTACCATTAAAAATTCTCTAAACTAGGCGACCCGGGTGTGGGTGGCTCCACATGCAGTCCAGCACTTTGGGTGGCTGAGGGCGGGTGGATTCACTTGCAGGTTGGGTAGTATCAAGACCCAGCCTGGACAACATGGGTGAAACCCGTCTCTACTAAAAATGACAAATAGTTAGCCCAGGCGGTTTTGGCGCACATGGCTGTAATCCTAGTCTACTCGGGAGTCTGAGGCAGGAGAACCCGCTTGAACCTTGGGGAAGGCAGAAGTTGCCAGTGACCCACCTAGACCTAGCGCCCATGTACTCTATCTGCAAGAAGAGTAATACTCCGTCTCAAAAAAAAAAAAAAAAAAAAAAAAAGGAAACAAAAACAAACTCTATTCTCTACATCAATGTAATATGTGACTGTGTACTCACAGAAGGCAGGTATTTTGAATAACTGGCATGTGCTCCACGGCAGTAAAATTTCAAAGAAAATGAAGTGCAATGATAAACAGAAGATTCTAATGAGAAATTTTTAATAAATAAGCATTTAAAAGAAACTAATGAGAAACTTTTAATAAGCATTTAAAAGAAACTAGAGACTTTTTTTTTTTTTTTTTTTGAAGGGGTCTCGCTCTGTCACCCAGGTTGGAGTGCAGTGGCATGATCTCCTCTTACTGCAACCTCTGCCTCCCGGGTTCATGCCATTCTCTTGCCTCAGCCTCCTGAGTAGCTGGGACTACAGGCGCCTGCCACCATGCCTGGCTAATTTTTTTTTTTTGTATTTTTTGTAGAGATGGGGTTTCACCATGTGAGCCTGGATGGTCTCTATCTCCTGACCTCGTGATCTGCCCACTTCGGCCTCCCAAAGTGCTGGGATTATAGGCGTGAGCCACTGCACCCGGTCTGAGGTTGGAAAATTGCTTCAGGCCAGGATTTCAAAACCAGCCTGGGTTATGTAGCAAGACCCAATCTCCAAATTAAGTGCCTTTAGGAGAGCTTTGAGATCCACGGAGGGAGTTGTGAAACTGCTAATGCCCAATTCTGAGGAATGCTCCTTTTCAGAAGGCAGGTGGCAAACTACAGAACTCCTGTTTTCCAGTGTAGACCAGGAAATGGCCTACCCAACTTGGTCTTCTGATAATTCTGAAATTACCCTGTAATCATCTCATACTTTTCCCAGCCACAGTCTGTAAGAGGTCACACCCTTTCAGAGGCCTTGAGAAAGGTACCCACTTATAGCCATGCAGCAGGCCTGCAGACCTTGGTCCCTGAAGCAGTTCAATGACTCAGTTTCAGATACCTGAGCCACAGTTCACAGCCAGTTCTGCCTATGTTAAAGCCCACTCAGTGACCTGGAAAAATCCTCTCTGATACACAGTGAATGCCATACTCATCCACATTCTTAAATAAGACTTACCATATACAGACCTGACTGCAGAAACCTGCCCTAGTGTCTGCCCTACAGGTCAAAGTCTTGAGGGAAATTCAGTCTGTCCAAAAAATAAAATGTGAATTACAACTACCCAAACCCCTTGTAAGAAGCCAACTGAAGGTGGACCCCAGTGCAGACCCAGCAGCCTTGTGACCAAGCTACATCCCCTTTCCACTACAAACCCAGAGGGCATCTCATGACCCAATAAAAGATCTTTACCTTCTGAAAACAGGTTATAAAAACTTGAAGAGGTGTTTGCTTTTTCAAGTTTAAAGACACTAATACAAAACTGCATTTTGCCTATTGTCAATGCTTCTATTTTAACAAAGAACATTAAGTATGTGGCAAAAGAATTAGTCAAAAAAATGAAAAAGAGCCATTGAAACTGAAGACAAGGGCCGGGCATGGTGGCTCATGCCTGTAATCCCAGCACTTTGGGAGGCCGAGGCGGGTGGATCACAAGGTCAGGAGTTCGAGACCAGCCTGGTCAACATACTGAAACCCATCTATACTAAAAATACAAAAATTAGCCAGGCATGGTGGTGCGTGCCTGTAGTCTCAGCTATTTGGGAGGCTGAGGCAGGATAATCGCTTGAACCTGGGAGGCAGAGGTTGCAGTGAGCCGAGATTGCGCCACTGTACTCCAGCCTGGGCAACAGAGTGAGACTTTGTCTCAAAAAAAAAAAAAATCTTATTTACGACAGCATTAAAATAAATTTCTGAGAAGAAATGTAATCAAAGAGGTAGAAAATCTTTACAATGAAAGATATATCAATGAAAGAAATTAGAAAAGACATAAATAAATTGGAAATATTTCATGTCTATAGATTGAAAGAATAAATACTGTTAAAGTGCCATGTTGGCCAGGCGTGGTGGCTCACGCCTGTAATCCTAGCACTTTGGGAGGCTGAGGCAGGCAGATCACGAGGTCAAGAGATGGAGACCATCCTGGCCAACATAGTGAAACTCTGTCTCTTAGTATACTAAAACAAAAAATAGCTGGGCGTGGTGGTGAGCTCCTGTAGTTCCAGCTACTTGGGGGGCTGAGGCAGGATAATAGCTTGAACCTGGCAGGGAGAGGTTGCAGTGAGCCAAGATTGTTCCACTGCACTCCAGCCTGGCGAAAGAGTGAGACTTCGTCTCAAAATAAAAAGTGCCATGTTAATGGCACTTAGATCTACAGATTCAAAAAATGGCACTTGATCTATAGATTCAATAAACTCCCTATCAAAATTCCAGTGGCGTTTTACAGTAATGAAAAATACAAGTCTAAAATTTATATATGAAACTACAATAAACTTTGAATAGTGAAAGCACTCTTGAGAAAATAAAAACAAAGCTGAACGACATCATACTTTATAATTTCAAACTATATTTGAAGACTATAGTAATACAAACAGGATGGAATGTGCAGAAAAATGAACAAAAACCTACTACTCTCACACATTGCAGAGGTGATGCAAAAAGAGAACTTAAAAAATAGTTTAACATAGAGTTTCTCAAAATTATGCAGATATCTGTGTGTCCCCCAAAACAATGGAAAAGCACTCAGATTGTGCAGTCTCTTATATGCCATGAAGAAGACTTTGGCTCTCACTCTAAATTAGAAGGCAGATCACTGAAGGGAAAGCAGAGTCCTAAGAGAACTTAAAAGCATAAGACAGAAGACGCTGTTACGTGAGAGCAAAATAGAAAAACTCGGCCAGGTGCTGTGGCTCATGCGTGTAATCCCAGCACTTTCAGAGGCCAAGGTGGGTGGATCACCTAAGGTTAGGAGTTCAAGACCAGCCTGGCCAACACACAGTGAAACCCCGTCTCTACTAAAAAAAAAATACAAAAATTAGCTGGGCATGGTGGCGCACACCTGTAGTCCCAGCTACTTGGGAAGCTGAGGCAGAAGACTCGCTTGAACCCTGGAGGTGGAGGTTGCAGTGAGCCGAGACTGTGCCACTGCACTCCGGCCTGGGTGACAGAACTAGACTCCATCTCACAAAAGAAAAAAAAAAAAAGAAAAGAAAAACTTGGGCTTTCCAGAAGTGAGCTGAGATTGAGACTGTGCCACTGCACTCCAGCCTGGGTGACAGAGTGAGACTCCATCTCTCAAAGGAAAAAAAAAAGAAAAGAAAAGAAAAACTCAGGCTTTCCAGAAACTATTTCCTTTGGAACATAGCTTCCCAAATCACATTATTAAGGACTAGCTTTTTCTTTGACCTTTAAATCGTTCATCTATGTTATCTGTTGTATTCACTTTCACTCTCACCTACCTGGTTTGGCCACCATCCTATGTCTCTTTCTAGTCCAAGGCTCTTTTTCTTGCTCCAGACAGGTGATCAGATCTGGCTTAGAGACAGCAATACCTGTTTTATTGAAAATAAATAACATAAATCTTGCTCATATTCTCTAATCACCAACATGGCAATGTGCTCAGTAAAGAGGGTGAAATAGAAGATTCTTGTAAATCAATTCCAAAATATTGATTTACAAAAGAAATTTCTAAATATTTAGAAAATATTTTAAATTTGTTAGTTCTTAATTTCACTGTCCAGTCCAGTACAACAAATCAAAAATTAGGGTTGGTAATTAGATTTTAAAGTGTGGGCAATAATATTTTATGCCACTAAACTTCTGGAATTACCACTCTAATCTAGAGTGAAGAATACAGATTAGCTCAGGAATGCAGAAAGTTCAGGTCAAGATGAAACAGCTTAAAGAAATTCTTTTCTACAGAGATGAAACCCTAAGATTTTTATAAAAACAGGGATCTGAAACTCACTTATGCAAAGCATAAATTACCTAAAAACATTACACAAAAAAGAAAAATGAAATCTGTAGGATATAATAGGAATTCTGTATTGAAGTTATCCTCACCCAAGAAGACCAGGTTTCTGTAGTTCTCTAACATCACATTCCTATATAAATTCTGCTGTATAGTGTCCAGGCATTGCCACTCCTCCAGAGAGAATTCTACGGCCACATCCCTAAATTTCAATGGTTCCTGAAAAACACACACACACATACACATACATATTTACAAAGTGGCCATGGAAAGAATTTATAATTTGACTCAAGGTAAAATAAGAAAGTGAAGAGAACTGGTTCTGACTTACATAAATGACTGAAATTATCCAATAAAATAATTTTTTTTACACAGGAACATTCTCTGATCTATTCTCTAACTATGAGAAAAGAAAGTCGCATTAGATCTATAACACCAGACCTAAATAAATTGCCAGTGAGAACGGTAATTATTAAAAAGTCAAGAAACAATAAATGCTGGTGAGGCTGTGGAGAAATATGAATGCTTTTACAATGTTGGTGGGAATGTAAATTAGTTCAACCATTGTGGAAGACAGTGCGGTGATTCCTCAAGGATTTAGGACCAGAAAAACCATTTGACCCAGTGATACCATTCCTGAGTATATACTCACAAGAATATAAATCATTCTACTAGAAAGACTAATGTGTTTATTGCATCACTGTTTACAATAGCAAAGATATGGAACCAACCTAAATGCCCATCAATGATAGAATGGATAAAGAAAATGTGGTACATACACAACCATGGAATACTATGTAGCCATAAAAAGGAATGAGATCATGTATTTTGCAGGGACATGGATGCAGCTGAAAGCTATTATCCTCAGAAAACTAACACAGGAACAGAAAACCAAACACTGCATGTTGTCACTCATTAGTAAGAACTGAACAACGAGCACTCATAAACACAAGGAGAGAAACCACATACACCCGGGCCAGTCGGGGTGTGGGGGGACGAGGAGAGAAAGAGCATTAGGATAATAGCTAATGCATGCCAGGCTTAAAACCTAGATGATGGGTTGATAAGTACAGCAATCCACCATGACACATGTATACCTATGTAACAAACCTACACGTTCTGCACTTGTATCCCGAAACTTAAAGTAAAATAGAAAAAAATATGTATTATAAAAGACTATACTTAGAAATAAATTACAAAAATTTTTCAATTTTTTTTTTTTTTTGAGTTGCAGTCTCGCTCTGTCACCCAAGCTGGCGTGCCATGACATGATCTTGGCTCACTGCAACCTCTGTCTCATGGGTTCAAGCAATTCTCCAACCTCAGCCTCCAGAGTAGCTGGGATTACAGATGTCCATCACCACAACTGGCTAATGTTTGTATTTTTAGTAGAGACAGGCTTTCACCATGTTGGCCAGGCTGGTCTTAAACTCCTCACCTCGTGATCCACTTGCCGTGGCCTCCCAAAATGCTGGGATTACAGGCATAAGCCACCTCAACCGGCTTATAAAAGTTATAGTTAAAAGTGCTGAGATACAACAAAAGTAAAAAGAAAAAAGATTATGTTACAGGGCACTGTGCCTGAGATAACACATTATGTAATTTAATTTTTATAACACCCTGGGAGCTGGTACTGTTTAATAATTCCCAGGATTTAAAGTCCAGCATTTTTATTTCTTCTGTTTCTCTGTCATTGATTTTTTTAAAAAATATAAACAATAAAAGCTAAATATAGACAGAAATGCAGAAAGAATTTAATGTATTTTAGAAAAATTTATATTCTTTATGTTTACTTTTTTGTGACTTGTGGAGCAACTCCTAGATCTGTAGGAATAGAAAACAAGTTGCTAGATAGAATGCAAGTACTAGTTTCAATAAAAAATTATAACCCTAAAATATACTTTATTTTTAAAATTTATTTGCTTTTGTGTTTCGGGAATTGTAAGCACCAGCTCTAGAAAGGCAGCAGAATTCACCAGTCAAAACTCTGATCTCCACTGATCAGTTCTATGAGGCAACACCTCAGGGTAGGGCCAGACCTATATAAGGCCTCCAAAAAGGTGAACCTGAGCAGAACTGGGGCAGGGAGTGGATTCTATGTAGAATTCTGTTCTCTATGCCACTGGGATATTTCCAATTCTGTTTTTCCTAAACTGACCTAAAAAAAAACTTAAATCTCAGAGTTTGTATAATTTTAACCTTTCTTAGACACTGCCCTATCAATTATATGTAACATATACTAATAAGCAATTTAAACAAATTTATAAAGGTTTTCTAGGGTAATTTTATTAAAAGACAAATATATATTAACAAGGTAAAATAAATAAATATCCCTTCAGGTGATGACATCACAAGTCACAATTATATAAAGAAAGTGGCACAAATACAGCCCAAGTTTTCTGCACACATCTGTTTATTGTACGAATTATATGATGTTTAATTTAACCATTATCCAGCTGTTAGTCTAGACTAAAAGCTCCTGGATTGTAGGGACCATGACTGCTTCATCTATTTTTCTAACGGCCATATGAAAAGAAAACAATTTAGCCGGGCGTGGTGGCACATATCTGTAATTACAACTACTCGGGAGGCTGCCTCGAACAGCCTGGCCTCGTGGTCTGCCCGCCTCAGCCTCCCAAAGTGCTGGGATTACAGGCACGAGCCACCGCGCCAACCCTTTTGACTCCCATACATTTTTTAATAGAAGGAAAGAGAAACTGGGAATGCCACGGGCCAAAGCTCTTCCCACTCATGAACCCGGCATCCGTCTGGATTCTTCCCTGACGACCCTCCCATGGTCCCTGCACAATCCGGGAGAGACCCGGCGTTGCGGGTGCGGAGCCGCCCAGAGAGAGCTGCAGGCCAGGACGCAGTCACTGACCAGGGAAGAGACAGGACGCCCGGGGGGCTGGCCGGCTGCGCAGCCGCCATCTTATGGTCGAAGGGGACTAAGGCTGACCCGGGCGAGAACTCAGGGCGCAGATTGTGGAACTGACTGCGGCGAGGTCCGCGTCTCGCCATAGCCCCTTCCCCTCTCTCGGGATGTCGGACCCGGCATTCTCACCATTTCTAGGTTTCCGGGGACCCTGGCGTCTTAGATATGGATCTCCAATACCTGCACGTCAAGGAGCCACAGAGACTCGGCCTCTAGAAACAGAGGACACAGAGCAGTGAAAGCAAAACCTGGAGCTCCGGCTGCAGAGAGAGACAAAGGCCCCGCCAAACCCGGAAGCCGCCCTGTCCGCTCTACCTGCATTCCTGATTGGACAGTTCCCAGCCCAGCGTCCCTGATTAGATAATAAGTAAAACCCCACCCCCTCAGGTCCTGAATGACAGAAGATGTGATCAGATGCTCGGCTGAATGAAGACTAACAGCCTAAGTTGCAGCCTTTTCAGACAGGGCTCCCTCCCAGAGCTGAGCTGGGCCCACCCAAAAGGGTATTTGCCTTTAACCTTCTGTGTAAGGTCACATGCATTTCAAATAATAGACTAGATAGCTATTCAAAAATAAATACATATATAATAACGATTATTTTAAAATTTCAGCTTTTATGACCGTCCTGGTTTCTGGCAGCCATAGTCCCTACCCTGACAGCCCCCAGCCCAGATGGCATTCAAATCTTCCTGGATGGGCTTGAAGCCCGTCACTCACCCGCTCTTTAGCACTGCCTTGTGTTGGTTACTCAGGCCCTGGGAAAGGAGGTGGGGATTGTAGGTCGAGGGTGGGAACCGCCTCACACCCAGAGTTCATCTGGTCTCACGCCAGCAAGTAAGCCCATGAAGCACAGCTCTAGACGCTGAGCGTTGGCACCTCCAGCTGCACTTTCTATTTATATATCAGGGTTTTTTTTTTTAAAAAAAAATTTATTTATTTATTTATTTTTAGATGGAGCCTTGCCCAGGCTGGAATGCAGTGGCGCAATCTCAGATCACCACAACCTCTGCCTTACGGGTTCAAGCGATTCTCCTGCCTCAGCCTCCCGAGGAGCTGGGACTACAGGTGCGTGCCGCCATGCCTGGCTAATTTTTGTATTTTTAGTAGAGACGGGGTTTCACTATGTTCAGGCTGGTCTTGAACTCCTGACCTCGTGATCCACACCCCTCAGCTTCCCAAAGTGCTGGGGTTACAGGTGTGAACCACCGCGCCTGGCTATATATCAGGTTTTTAAAACCATAAACAGACACAAAAGCAGCCACTTTGATTGAGGAGAAAGTGGGAGCCTAAAGCAGCTGACCCTCAAACAGCTCTACCAAGCCCCAGGCCAGGCCATCTGAACCCTCCAAGGCCACATGATAGTTACAGAGGATGACAGTTCCCACAGGTGCTTATCAAACACTGTGCTAGCTTCTCAGTCACAGAGTCTCAGAATTTCTCCTCGCCAATACCCTGTGAGGGGAGGCCCTGACTCACTAGAGCACAGGAGGTTCCTAAGCTCTTCCCAGGAAATGGTTAACAAAGTGTGGAGGTGGGGGAAAGCCCAGTCAGAACAAGTGACTTCCCAGGGTCTCCCTAGACTCCATCCCCTCCTCCACATGGGGCCAGGA